TGAGATTTACCCACGTCATAGAGTTTGATCATGAATTGATGTCCAAATTGCTTTGAGTTTTTAAAATGCTGATTTATCTTTATAGAAAGTCTGGGAAAGGGGATGTGGTGATAAGCATAGAGTATATCCTACTGCAGTGACATAGCTGTCACAAACTATTTATTTGAGGAGTATAGTATCTGTAAGTCTGCAGTGGTCCTAATGTGGCAAGTGGCTAGTCATATCTTAGGAGCAAGAACAACCTGGCCTGTTTATTCTTTGGCTGTCAAAGCAATAACAGTAGGTTATCAGCTGCAACTTCACTTTAAGGTTAATGGCTAGACCTTGCAAATCCCTGTCCTTAAAATAATGGAAAACAGCACTGTAAATTCCAGCATCTGGAAGCTAGATACTTCCAACTGGAGAGAGAGCTGCAGCCCTTGTGTGGCGATAGTAATTGGATGTCAGAGCACTGAGGATCTCGGTGGCCCTTCATCACTGGGAATCTTACAGGTGGGACTGAATGACTCTTGAAAAGCTCTGCCCTGTGTCAGCCATAGGAATCAGCTGGTAGTTGGGCTTTTGCTATGACAGTTAGTGGAGGAGGTGGGTATCCCATGGGCTGTCAGATGCACATCTGTAAAGGGTCCCTTTGGCCAAGGGGAAGGTATGGTTGCAGGCAGCAGAGGGTAGGCTGAGTTCTTAATCCCTTTATTTGAAGGGTCTTTTCAGATCCACCTCGAAAAATTCCCCAACTTTTAGAAATGTGCATCTGTGGGGAGATTGTAGAAGCAGAGATCAGCATGTTCTCATTGGATCTAGGACGTAGGAACAGGGTTGTGGCTGTCAGTGCAATGCTGTAAATGAGTCACTGGATCAGTCCCGGGTGAGTTCATCCCCAACCTGAGCTTACATTTGAACTGCCCAATGTAGAGCTGCTCTGCTTTTTGAGACCCCTGAGGTTCACCTGTCCTGATTACAAGTATTTTTGTAGTTCTTGATGGTACGTTGGATCCTGTGAGGGACAGTCTAAAAGTGTTGTGGGTGTTAACGGAACAGCCAGACTTGTACAATGGACCTACAAGAAGGGACAGAGAAATATCTTGTGACTATTCAGTGCATGGCTGGGTCTTTCTTGAGAGCCCTGAGTTCATCCTAGGCTTGTTAAAGTTGCTTGACTACTCCTAGCACTGGTTGCTGGTCCCTGCTGAGGTATGTGGTGAGACTGGGGAATAGCTTCAGCCTCAGAAAGAGGAATTGGGGATTTGGAACCAACCTTTGCAGACTGTGGAGCTGCTCAGTGCATTAGACAGCTCTCTGGGGAGCTTGCTTCTAGTTATCATGGGTGATGGTAGCAAAAAGGTAAGGACAGAAGAACCTGGGGGAACTGTGAAGTCCTGAGGAGTCTCCCTTCCTCTGGACCAGACTTTCTTTCCTGTGCAGATGTAGCTGTCACTCGCCTGCTGGAAACTCCATCCTCAGTGCTGGGGAGCAAACTAGCTTGGTGGGGAGCAAGCAAGCTGCCTCAGCACCTGCAATTCTACGTGCAGGAGGTTTTACATTTTCAACACGTATTTAGGGTCAGGAGCAGCCCTTGGCTCTGTGTATGTCTTGGAGCAAAAGGTCGCCCTGCTACAGGACTTCCCTTTGAACCTGCTGTGGTGGCAGACTGGTGTTTCACCCTCTGTATGGTGCCTATAAGAGACCAGGGCTGTTGCTGAGGTCCTGCTCTCAGATCAATGTGGGCAAGTTGCCTTAAGTTTTATTGCTTCACTGGAACGGATAGAAGCAGTGCCAGGTCTTCTCAGTAACCTCTCAGCTTCCAATCTGATTGTCCACACCCAGCATCTCTAGGGTTGTGCGCACACACCCCTCTCTAGTTCTGGGGACAGCCAAAAAACTTGGGAGATTCTCTGTGAAAATGGCCAAGAAGGGCAGGGTACTCATTTTAAATTGATTGTAAATTGAAAATTATTTTTCTGCATAGTGGAAAGTACAGTCATAAACTCCTTCTAGCATTAATCATAGATGCATTTTAAGGAAAGTTACTATCTTGTCGTCTGTGCTGTTAGCAGCTGGAAGTCCCCAGCCCTGGCTCTGTTAGGAGCTATCCTGACACAGAGAAGACAGCTCTTGTTCTGGAGAGCTAATAAAGCAAAAAAAGCGAGTATTAGGTGGGTATGACCAATGGGGAGCTGCTTAACAAATGAAAGGCTGCTCCTCAAAGATGGGTGAGAAAGCACAAGCATGAAGGTTAGTTGGGACTGGCCTGCGCTTCTGTCGCGTAATGGATAGTTGTACGTGTCGAAACTACAGCTGCTTTCCTGCATTCAAACTCCACAGGGATAATTGCACACGCCCAGCACTTTAACATTTGAATGCGAGTGGATGGGACCATCGTGTGATGGTTGCACGTGATGGCTGCGCTGGGATGAAGAGTGCATCTTTCTTTTCAATCTCTGAGCAGACTGTGCGTGAGCACAGACAGTGTGCTCGACTTAAACCAAAATAATCCCCCGGGGTGTCTGGGCAGGGTGATAATGTAAAAGGAATGCAGGGAGGGTAATCAAAAAATAGAGAATAAGCATCCTTGGTAAAACTCCTGCTTCGGTCCCCAGTGTGCAGTTGCATGCCCTCTCCTCTGCGTACAGTCTCTTCTCCCTCCCTCCCTGCGAAGGGCAGACACTTCTCGCTGCCCGTACTTGTCATGCCAGTCACACGCATGCTGGTGCACAGACTAACACCCTCAACAATAAATCTAAAAGATTAATTACCAAAAAAAAAAAAAAATCTCACAACCCCACTTGAGGCATTTGAAATGCATCTCAACCGTGCTCTGCTTGGGTTATTCATCGGGAAAAGAAATAACCTCCTGAATCAAGCAATTGAGAATGCAAATATCCCAGCCTAGCTCAAAAGAGGAATCAAGCTCTATACTGTCAAGCTGATTAGCATCCTGTGGGGTGCTGCCCTGAGCCCAGAGAGAAAATTTTGGGACAACTGTGCTTAATGCTCTGGGATGAGGTTTCTAAGTTTTGCCCAGAAAGAAATTATAGTATTGCTACTCCCTGTATGATGAGAGACCATGAGCTAAGTTTTCTTGTTCTCTTCATGGCAACTGCCCTTCCTCTAGAGAGATCTTTCAGCCTTTTGTTTCCTGTCACTGACCAGCTGGTTTTTGTGAGTTGAGTTTTTTGTTGTTGTAAAATTGAAGCTTTCTACAGGCAGTGGAACAAAGATTTTCTTTTTTCTCTTGTGAGCAGGGAGGGAAAGTACGTTGGAGCAGTTTCTCATGGGAGTGAGACTTCTTGCAATAAGGATTTTACACTTTGTTTTGCCTTTTTACCCCTTTCCCTGAAAGCAGTGTAGACATGTCTTCCAGAAAGGCTAGGAATTCTGTGCTGGTCCCTTTCAGTTCATATCCCAGCAGTAGGGTGGGAAATGCAGCATTGGGGAGTTGACTGGAGATATTTAGAGAGGGGGGGAAAAAAAGCAAAATTAATCCCAATCTGCTCCTTGTTGTTATGTCCCAATGAACCAAAATCCTCTATAACATTCCTTGTTGTCCGTTGCAGATGTCAGAGGGGAAAATAAAACAAGAGCTTTCCTATTAAGTCCTGGTCATCAACTATGACCCGTGTGCAGGAGCGTGAGTGTGGCTGGAAACCATGATGGCAGTAACAGGCAGGCTGCGTGCGGGTTTTTCTTTTTCCTCCTGAAAAGCTGCCATGCGTCCTTGTTTCCCAACTTTGTTGTTCAGACAGGTTTCACTGTCTCTTCCTTTTCCCCTTTCCCATCCTGAGTGGGTGGCCTGCAGCAATGTCCAGCAGACTCAAGCTGTTTTGACATGTGCTGGCACCAGACAGGACGGGTGGGCCTGTCGTGAGGACAGATCTCTGGACGTTTCACATGAGGTGTGTCCTGAGCCTTGGGTTTTTCTTAACCCACCCTGACAGATCAGGCGTTCGAGTGGGTTTACTGTCGCTGCCACGAAATTAAGAGCCATGTCCTTTTAGTGTGGCAGCTGGTCCTGCAGATCCTTTAGCACAGAAATATGTGATGTGTTCAGCATTATCGGCTCTTATTCTGTTAATTCAGTGCTGCAACGGGTCTCTTCTGTTAATGCTTGTTTACTTTTTTGGGCTAGGAATGCTGTTAAGTTGGAGGAGGAAGGTAGGGTATAAGCATCAATTAATGGTTTCTCGTAAAATTTGAATTTTGAAAGATGTAAACGTTTGCAGTGTTCATTGTAGGCCAGTTCAGCCGATTATGGCGAAACAATGATTTCTAGGATTTGAAACGGATATAGCTGTGGTCCAGGGGTTCCTCATGCTGAGACTTTTCTCCCCATTTCATCTTCAATCAATGCATGGGATGAATGAAAACAGCAGCAGCACATCTTTGTGAAATCCCACATTCCCCAGCTTCTTCTGCACATCAGAGACTGGGCAAACCTTGCCTTGGACAAAGTCTTTCGTAGTTGATGCAGAGGTAAAGGGGAGGGCAGTGACTTCAGGAATGTCTTATCAGGGTTCATGGCACCAGTGCTAACCATATTAAAGTTACTCTTTTTGACCTGACTATTTTTCTTTTTTTTTTTTTTTTTTTTGTCTTCTGGGTGTCTCCTTGATAACGTGTCAGGGTTGCTCTTTTGCTTGTGGACTTGTTTCAGTTTAATTGCACTATATGTGATGGTTTCCATCCTTCTATTGATAATGAAAGGGTGAGTTAGTCTGTATGCCTTGTATATACAGAGAAGTGGAATTTCTGTAAAGCTCTCCCATTTCTTACAACCCTGAGCCATATCTCCAAAATCTTCAGCTTGTGCTGGAAATGTTCTGTGATGAGTTCCCTGCCCTGGTGAAGCTTGTTTTGTTTTGTTTTTTAATCACTTACAGCCATTGGAAGCTATAAGAAATCTCAGTGTTTCATGTTAGGGATAATGAGTTTATCATCGAGTCTGTCTCCTTTCCATTTGGTTTTTGGTCTTATTAAACATGTTTCTCTTGTTTCCTCCCAAGAATGCCAGGACTGGTGGGCAGCAGGTTGCAGACAGAACACTTCTATGCTTCCCACAAACTGCACAGTCTGTTCCACTGTGAAAAGCCTTCAGATAGTGACAGACTTCAGAGAACTATCAGAAAAGCTCCCGAGGTCTCAGCCTTTTCTAATCAAGGTAATGCATGGATTTGTAAGGCTGGATGATTAGTCCAAACTCTTGAATAGCACCAGCCAAAGACCCCTGCCTGGTATTTTCAACCTCAAAGTGTTGATTGAGGTAGAACATATATCTAAGACCACATTTAGCCCCAGTTTAAAGATGTTGGGGGGGCGAGGAGCTCTGCATCCTTAGCAAGTTGTTCCTCTGACTAATTATCATTGTGGTTGGAATCTTAGCAATCTAGTTGGCTGTCATTCTTAAATGTTCTGTGGCAGGATGGAAATAGGAGAGGAGAACAACCCCAGGTGCACAGCTTTTATCTTTTGTTTTGTGTCGGTTAAGACAGGGCAGCATCTCTCCTATGAAGAACTGAAGCATTTTCAGTCCCAGGATCCAGAACTGGCAGAGGTTATAATAGAAGAAAATTCAGCTGAATTGTGGAGCTGCCCGTTTTTCTTGCCCTGGTGAGTCAAAGACAGAACATGTGATAGATGTATATGTCTTTCTGCAGGGCTGCCCAGGTTTTTGCCTATGTGAACTACCAGGAGCTTGCAAGTTGCACTGAAACTGGAGGGAAGGGGAACAGGAGTGGGCTAGAGTCTTCTAGGTCTGCCTGCTGGCACTAATTTGATCAAAGGAGAAGACTTCTGCACTAAAAATGGAGTGTTGTGGCTGGGATTTCATATATTGCTGCCCTTACAAGACAAAAATATCCCACTGACTGCTCTGTCCTGTTCTTCAGGCTGTATGTTAATCATCTGGACTGTGGTCTGATCACCTGAGACAGCTGGTTTACGTTTCTAATCACTGCTGCTCAGTGGAAATCCTGCACCATTAGTGCTGACTGAGAAGAGGTGCTGTGACTTTGCTGAGAAGTAACAGAAAGCTAAGGGATCCTGCAGTTTGTGTCTGGTCTCATGCAGAAGAAACAGCCTACCTTCTGCTCGCTGTGCTAAAGCCTTTAGTGTGACTACAAGACATTTGAACAATTCGGAGCTCTCTTAAGGTTGCAGAGCTACCCAGTACATTAGCTGTGCCTTGTCACATGGAGAAGAGCGAGAAGTAAGGTGGGAAGGTGCCACCTGGTGTGGAGCAGGCTCTCTGACGCATTTGTACAAGCAAAGGAGCAGTGTCCAAGCAGAGTTGGAGAAGGGCTTGGTGGAGTCTGTGCCTTGGCTAATGCTTAGATGGGATCTTCTTGCCGCAATTCTCAATCGCAGCACTGGTAGATAGATGATTAGAAGTATTAATCATATCAAACCACTAGACAGAGATGTAAAAATAATGAGCCCTACCCTGCCTTTTCCGGTTACATTCCCTGGCCTTGTGGTTTCAGTTATGGTTGTGTACAATGCCACCTCTCTCCATCTTTTACAATTATTGGATCAGATCAATGACTCAGATCATTTTAAGGGAAGAGGGGAGGGAAATAAAGTTTAGGCATCGATGATGATCTGGTTATTCCATGTTTACGTGGTTCAGCTGCAGGTACTAAGAGGAAGATATGAGGCAGCACAGGTTTAGAAGCCGAGAGGTCGAATTTTGCTCCTAGGGGCTAGTCTATCAGCAGTTGGCTTATCGAGCATGAGTATTTGTGAAGAGTTTTGATCTGGAAGTAGCCTTTTAAATACAAGCATTATCATTGTGTGATATTTCTTTAATATGGGTCGTTTTGTTTAGGAACAAATCTGTGAATAAAACTCGGATTCTACAGGAATTTTTCCCCACTTCCTCTTTGCTGTCCTTCCCCAAGACAGTGTCCTTGGAGAGCTGCTTCCTCATCCGTCATCCAGATTTGGGGAATAAGGTGAGAAATTAATCCCAGTGGCATTACCTCCCTGTCTGTGAGTTCATAGAATGGGTTGGGTTGGAAGGGACCTTAAAGAACGTGTGCCATGGGCAGGGACACCCTCACTAGCTCAGGTTGCCCAAAGCCCCATCCAACCTGGCTTTAAACACTTCCAGGGATGGGGCCTCCACAACCTCTCTGGGCAACCTGTTCTAGTTGTCCTCCAGAAGCTCCACGTCTTCTGGAGGTTTGCAGGATGCTTTTAGCCAATACAATCCTGACAGAATGGTTTAGTGCTGTATCAGTTCTGTCCATCCCTGTGTAATGTGGCATCTCAAGGTTGCTGTACCGCCCAGAAGTTGTGTCTGGTTTTGTGCAGGTAGTACACTGTGCCTGTATCCCTCTGCAGCTAGAGATGCCTGTGCAGTGTCCCAGCTCACGTTTATGTCCTGGCCTTGCTCTGTAGCTGGGTGAGGGGATGGTGTCTTCGTGCACAGCTGGGCAGAACTCATTTAAGAGTTGCAGTTTAGGAGCTGTTCCTGGCAGTCAATCTCCCGTTCTGAGATACCTGCCGTGGAGATGTTTCACTGAAGATGGTGACGCTTCAGGCTTCTAGCCTGATTTCCTCCTCTGTTTTCTTGCGGGCCTTGTGGGTGCGGAGGGCCTACATTGCCTTGGACAGAGGAGGGAGGAGGACCCTTGCATGCAGCTGAACTCAGCTATGATCTAGTGGTATCTTGCGCTGTCTCACCTTGCTGCAGGGCAGTGACTTGTCCCTTGTTTGATCAGACAGACCCAAGAAAAGCTAGCAAGCTTTTGAAATACTGTCCTCTCATCCTAGAGCTACAATTTGCACAGCCTCTTTGCTGTTGGAAGTGGACAGCTCACCCTGACTGTTGTACCCCTGGATAAGTGCAGAGGACACTGTGAGATGTTCAAGGTGGAGCTGGAAGCTGGAGATTTGGGTGAGTACCAGTGCTGTAGCATGCAGGGTCTGGGAGGTCCCTTGGAGTCAGGAGTCTGCTTTTCTGTCTGACCCCCAAGAAGGTGGTATGTGCCATTACCATCCCCAAACTGGTGTGTGCCTGGGGCAGTGCAGAGGAGTGATCGTTCTGGACTGGGAGTTTGTGGCCTGGAACACAACAGGATACCATGAGATGCTCAGTGTTAAAACTGAGTAGCAAGGACTACACAAGACACAATGCTCTGCCGGGTATTACAAACCCAGCGTGTCGTTGAGGGCAGTGTCTTTCCAAAGAGCTTCTGCATACCCCCATCGCTTCACGGGAAATGTGAGCAGTCACTAAGCGTGGATTCATCTAATACGGCCTCTTCATTGCATCTTCCAAAGGTTATGCCAGCGCAGATTACTGGACGATGAGCTTCATGGCCAAAGGGACAGAGCCGGCGGTTGTTTGTGATGGAGCTGCTAGCTAAGGATGGTGGGGTGGGAAAACAGAGCTGTTTCCAGGACAAGAAGACTTTCAGCTTTGAAGCCAAGGCAATGTCTTGATAGCGATAGAGCTGGGGCAACTGGGGTGGGCAGCTTTGCCACCCTGCATGTTTACAGTGTTTAAAAATGACTGTTTTCCTGACCCTTGAGGTAATTCTTTGCCTTTCCTCAGATGTATTTTGGGAGAAGCCCAAGCTATTTATGACCTTCCCTGTCCCCTCAGGTAAGCCCTGGGTTTGCAGCAGAGGGTTTTTTCCAGGAGAAACAGGGATTCCTCAGGGTGAGATTCACCTTGTGTCCTTTGCAAATTCTGAAACTTCCTGGGGGGTTTGGGAGTGGAGGGTGTGTGTGACATTCTGTGTACATTCCTCCTGAGGAGGAGGCTTTGAGCCTGTCTTGTCAGACCAGCTCTATAAAGGGAATGAATTGGTGATGTGTCCCAACTCCACCCCATCTTTCCCTCACGAAGATAACTGTGTGCCTCAGTAGTGTGCCCCGCAAAACCAATCTCAGCTCCGTGCTCAGGGCTGGGATGAGCCTGGCAGCCTGGGGCATAGACCCTCACCCACTGCGTTATTCTTGTACCAAAACAATCTGTTCAGGCCTCTTTGTCTTGTGATCACTCTTCTGTGGTTCTCTCTCAGCAGGTTGAGTCAAATAGTAACTCTGCTTTTGCTTTTTTCCCTCCACCTCTTTTCCTACAAAAATACCGATGCAAGTTGTAGAGGCGATGATGCCAAGAGTGCAGTAGTTCTGGATGGAGATGGGGCTGGGCGCAGAGCAGCTCTGTACAACTTTCATCTTCTGATTGTGGCTCTAAGACACCAGGGCTGCATGACCATTTTCACATACTCCTCGCTTTGAGAGGTGCTGCCTGTGTTCCTGGCCCAGGGTACCTACGGAAGCACCTGAAGGCATCTCTGCCACTTTTTTTTTTTGCATTGACTCTTTCCAGACCAGGAACTCTGTCTTCAAAATGAACATTGGTTTTTCCTGAGTCCTTTCCAAGCTGCCTTCACATGCTTCCTGTTGCTTGAGCACTGCTTTATCTAATGCCCTGAGAGAGGCTCGGTTTCAGTGTTTGCAGGCTGCGGATGCTGCGATCCCTTCCAAGTCTGATCCTTTGGGTCTGATCCTGCTGTTGAAGATCATTTACAGATGTGTTAGGCTGAACTCATAGGCCAAGGCTGTGGTTCAGGACATACTCTCACACTTGTTAATATGGAATTGGGAGGAGTTTTGTTTGAAAGCAAGTTAACTCTGTTCTCAAGAGCGAGAACCTTTTCCTCTGTAAATATTTTAGGTACGCATAAAAGGACAGATTGGAAAAATGCCTATCCAGCCTTTATTTTTGAGCGAGACCAGGAGAGTGGGAGCAAACATCGTACTAATCTTATTGGGGTCTGACAAAAGCTGCCAAGTGGGATGACCACGTCTGGCTCCTGTACAAGGATAAGGCAGAGAACAGTTCCTGCTCCAAAGAATTTAGTCTGAGGCCTTGACGCTACGAACATTTCTATGCATAACCCTTGTTTTTCTCCTGTAAATGAGTAAGAACAACCCCAGCACCCGTGCCAGTCTGTGTGCGTGGCCTTTGATGCTGGACCGACACGCACCAGATCTAGTAGAACCAAAGGGGGAGAGCCTGACTCTCTCGGGACAGAAAAGGACTATCTTAATTTGTAGCACGATATTAAAGGGAACTGGATTAAGACGACTTCTGTTAGTATCGTTAGTGCTTGGGGTGTTTTTTACACTTGTGACGCTGCAGGCAATCTTGTACGTGCCAAGACACACACATATCGCCCCTCTCCCTCCTCTTAAAGCCTGGGTCTTAGCTCATGGAAATTCAGGAGTTTGGTGATGGCAGAATTAGGGCCTCGTTAGTGACTGTTGCTATTTACACTTTGGCAGCTTCTCAAGTCAAATTCAAAGGCTGACAAGGTTACTTCACCTCTTACTGGTTTTGTACCTGATCCATTTCTGTAAAGCATTGGTTAGAGATGCACGGGGAGTGAACCTGCTGGGCCCATGATTGCTGAGATTGCAGGTGGCTTGGTGATGCTTTTCCTTCTAAGTGTCCTTGAATGTAACTTGTAAAAGAGCTACGGAGACAATTCTCAAGAGTCTGTGAAATGCCTGTGTTTTGTGAGTTGCGCTTAAGCCATTGTGGCCGTCTGGCTCCTGTGGGAAGAAGCAGAGAAAATGGATCTGTTTACAGTTGCTGTTTAGATTGGGGGGGGAAGGGGGGGCTCTAGGGCAGGTTTGTGCCTATGTAGCAGAAGTACTCTCACATATTGCTTCTCCCCTCCTCAAAGAGTTGCAGCTGGTTGGACAGAAGATGGTGAATCTGGACTGTTTGCAGATCAGCTTTCCAAGTGCACTTTATGGTCTCTGCATAAGTTTCCAGATCTGTGTCTAGGCGATACATTGCATATGTCCTAACCTTGCTCCCATTGGAGTTTACATCATTTGTTTTTAAACTTCCAGTATATTTTCTCTTCCTTTTCCAAAAGCTGTAAGGAATTAGCTGCTAAACTAAAACAGGAGGGCAATTCTGCTGATAAAGAGCCGATTTTTGGCCCTAGCCGCTGTTGAGTGCGGAGCCCCAGTCTGTAGCACAGCTTCTAGAGCAGCTCCTGTCTTCAGCTGCCAGAGAAGTAGTGCTAATGCCTGCCGCATCACAACACTGGCAAGGAGCTGGGATGGAAAACTCAGAGGTGAGGCCAAAGTGGCAAAACTAGGATGGCCAAAAGGAGCCCCTGGCTGAATGGCTGCAAGTGAGCCTTGGTCATCTTCTGGCTGTGACATCCCTAGAGAGCCTGGTGGCTCCTAGAGATCTGCTGAGGCTGAACTAGGGGGATGTGGCTATTTCCTCCGCTGTTGAGGCATTGTGGCAACAGCTGGCATTGGCTGAGTCGCAGAGGGCGTGTGTCCTGTTGGGGTCTCCCTCACCTCTGCCTTCACTTTGGCACTTGTGCGTATCCAAGCATATGTGCTGGTATGGACAATCCCCCACTCCCCGCCCTGCCTGGCTCAGAGGGGTCAATGCATGTGTCCCAGGTTTTAAAATCTACATGTATGCTTCAGACCTCTTTGCCTGTGAGCTGAGAGATGGACTTCTGCTCACTCAATGTCCCAGAGGACAGGAGGGTTGTGGTTTAAAGCTGGTTTCCAAAAGCAGGGGTCATTGACCGTTGTTCTCGGTCAGTCCTGAACTCAGGGTAACTGAAAGGAGGAGAAAGGACTATTATTAATTACTTCAGTACTGGGAAATCAGCATCCCCTATGGGAGCCAAGCTGCCAGTTTCTATTGATTGGGGTTTTTTTTCCTTTCTTCTTTTTTGTTTGAGGGTGGTTGGTTTGGGGTTTTTTTTCCTCCCCTCCACACTGGCATTGCACACACAAATTCCCCCGAGGCGGCTCTACAGATCCTAGCCTCAAACTCCCTTTGCAACACCCTGGCAAGCTTTCTAGGGTCATATTTCCCAGGGAGTCTTTGGGCCTTTAGCTTCTCCCGCTAGTACTCTTGCTGTAACGGTCTGGCAGAGAAGCTGGTTTTACTGGGCTGGATCAAAGCACCTCCCTTCTCTCGTGGCTGGCCTCCCCAGCTTCCTAGCAGCAGGTCCCGCACGCAGCATGGGAACACCCAGAGCAAGAGGAGGCAACGAGCAGGAGAGCATCTCATTAGAGACATGAATGCCAGCATCTTGGGAAGGTGATCTTCCTGCCTTTAAACCCCTGTGTCCACATCAGGAACGCTGCTCCGGGGAAATGAGGTTTGCAGGATCTGCCCAGGCTCAGTGGTCCCCATTTAGCCCTGTGCTCCCCAAGAGAACTGAGCGCCATTTTGGTGGGTGTGCGAAGAGCTTTTCCTTCCTGCAAACCAAACTTTCTCTGCTTTGTAAATTTTCTATGTAGAACTATATATTCTCCTCTTCAGGAAACTCCTCCTTGTAAAGGATAGATTTACTGTCCTGCTGAGTTAAACAAGGGAGTGCTGGACTTTCCCTTTGCTTTGGAGATTCAAAAAAATGATAGGTGATTTATTTTTAGCATTATTTCTTTGTCTGTGGGGAGGGGAGGCATGTTGTAAAGGCTCAGGGGTGCTAGGAGGTAAAGCTATATATGCATAAAGACTGTTTCAGTGCTGAACACTCTAAATTCAGTGGTGGATTTAAAAAAATGTAAATATGCACTTAATGCAGAATTTTATGGATGGTCATAATTTAATATATTGCAAACTTTGTAAATACTTGGAAAAAGCCTGTAAAGTGTGTAAATAAATGAGATTTGTATGTAAGAAGAATAAAAAAAGTTTTTATGTTTTGCAATTAAATACAAGTGTTGATGCACCTTTTCCCCTTTCGTGATTTATTTTCTTTTCATGTTGCACATCAGCCCTTGAGGGGTTGTTTCTCAGTGGAAGGTGTCGTTTTAAGTGCAAAGTCAACACACTTTGGAAGATGTTTTGTCAGATTCAGCCTGGTTCCCTAAACAAAGTTGATGCAACAGCTCTGCCTGTGCCTCCTTTCTTCCCAATAACAATCTCCATCCTTCCTTCACCATTCAGCTTCTTTCAGCCAGACCTTGAGGCGTGGAAGATGATAAACTCCTTCCAGAGCTGATAAAAACAGGCGAGTAGGGGAGAAAAGGATCCTGCTGCTACCCAGACAATGCGTTAGCCTCGTTAGACACCAGAGAAGCCATGGTTGAAGATCCTCAAGCCATGAGTCACTAGAAAAACCAGACTTTGTCACTTCTGCAGCGCTGAGTTGTGCCTTCCCAGAGCTAAAGGCTTCACACCCCATCAGGTGTTGGCATGTGGCTCTGGTCCCTGTGCCGAGGCTGCCGGCTCCCTGATGCTGCAGCAGACGGGCTGTGTCTTGAGCAAGCAGAAGGAAAGTCGCATTCCTCATGCGCTTACCTAATGCTGGCTGGACACAAGCTTGTGAGCTCCAGGGTGGGGCCTTGGACCCTGCACCGGTGATCTCCAGAAAGAGCTGTTGGGGAGTTGGGAAACTCTGCACCCCCTTTGCCAGCAGCTGTGCCTGACCTTGCTGAATGCATTGGCTGTTACTTGTGTTGCCTCATGAGCCATGTGCCCTGGTTGTGACTCGTCCAGGACTGTTTTCTCTTCTTCACAAGCACTGTGTGTCCCATTTTCCTTAATACTGGCTGCTGCTCTATCTC